ATATGATATTACTATCACATTCGCAAGTTGGACTTCGTAGGTTGTTAAGAAGACTCAGTTCCTATTGCCAGAATAACTCTCTAATCATCAACAAGACAAAATCAAAAATAATGGTATTTGGAAAAAGGCAGCAGAGACACAGATGGCAATTGGATGGTGAGGTAATAGAACAAGTAAACACCTTCCCTTACCTTGGAGTAACTTTCTCTGAGACTGGTTCTTGGACTTCTCATCACCAAAGGAGTGCCCTCAGGGCAAAGGCTAGCCTGAATCTAATACTTAAGTTAAAAACACACAGCTACCCAGGTACCCTAATCCCAATAATTAAAGTGTATAAAGCTAAGGTTACACCTATGCTTTTATATGCAGCAGAAGTATGGGGTTTAAGTTCCATCTCAGTAATAGAACAAGCACAATCCCAGCACTTGAGAAGTATATTGGGAGTAGATAAAAGGACCTCTGCTGCTGCAGTGAGAGCAGAACTGGAAATCTACACAATCAATGCACAGTCTAAACTTAGAGCGTACAATTACTGGTGTAAAATCAATGTAATGGAGCCTGATAGACTCCCAAAATTGTGCCTACTAGAACAGATAAAATCCCAACTACCGACCTCCTGGATTACACAACTGACAAATTATATAAGAAGTTGTGGGCTTCCTGTCTCCTGCGCCTCAAATGACCAAGTAAGAAAGGGTGCTATACAAAGAATTTTGGATATAGAAGCACAGAAAGATATAGCCACCCTCAGTAAGACTGCTAACCTAAAATGGCTGAGTCAATATAAACGTACCTTTCAAACTGCTAACTACCTAAAAATGCAAATACCAAAACATCTCAGGGAGGTATTCACTCGAGCCAGATTTGACCAGCTCGAGACAATGGTTAGATATGGGAGATTTAACAGCATCCCTTATAATGAACGGAGTTGTATCTGCGGGGCACCTGAAATTGAGGATATAGCACACATATTGTTTGATTGCAAATTGTATCAAAAGGTGAGAGACTTCCACCTTGGTCCATATATCAAACGGACAATGTATTGGGATTCTCACATCAGAACAACATATTTTATGTGTGGCCAAGACCCAAAAATAACGTATAAAACAGCTCTGTACTTAAGCAAAACAATACATCTGAGAACCACATATGTAGGGCTGATTGGGGTAAATTGTAGGGGTGATAATGAAATATGATGTATATACTCAGCTTGATCAGTTTATCAGTTTTATCATGTCTTATCATATGTATTTACTGTATTATTATAAGTGTCTTATTTTAACTTTCTACGTGGAGTGTGATCAGGTCTTGTCAGGCCTTGTTGTTCTGTTTCTTATTGTGATATGGCCTAAGGGCTAATCAATAAAATTACTAGTACTAGTGAAAACCCACTGGGTGACATTGGCGAAGTCGTAATCTGCCAACTGCAGAGGAAGGCAATGACAAACCTGCTCTGAACAAATCTTGCCAAGAAAATCCTCGCACTACCTTAGTATCACCATAGGTCCAGGATGACTTGAAGGCACATAGTAACAACAAATGTGGGGACACATCACTTCAAGAAATTACAAGGAGGTGATTTACTGTTTATGAATGTGCACCTATCTCCCAAAAGCCTTACTGTTTAACATACAACACCATACTATGATAATATTTAAATACTGGAGGAGTCCAATTTTCTGACCCATTTCGGGGGGGAAATGCTTTGCATATTTTCTGGCTGCACAAGGTGTAATTTAGAAATATTATGAAGTGGGATGTTATACTCAACATGAATACTTCTCATGTGTACACTACTACTTTATCTGGAAAAGATATGACAGATGCATTACTGTGTTGAATAGTACAATGTTCCACTCAGGATGGAAGGGAGATAATAATTCCCAAGCAAGCAACATCATGGATTTTTCTTCATCTTTTTGTTAAATACATTGCTATATGTAAACATGACTTCTCCTTGGAGATAAAACTAAGCAAAAAAAACCCCCATGCAATAGGTGCATTATACTTTCAAAAATAGTCATAGTGTGCTCTCAAATAATTCTGCAAAATAAAAAGTTTTTTTTAAGTTTGCAGAATGATAAACTTGCATAACGTGTAGCAATTGGGGAACCAAATACTGTAATTAAGCTATTAACTGCTGCAATGAGGGGTGTAGGGTTTAGGGTAGCTTCCCCCCCCCCCCCCCGAATCAGTTTTACTTTTCAGTGTGCTGAATTGCCATATTCCTTTTTCAATTTACAGGGAGAAGTGGGAGATCAAGGAATTCTTGGAAAAACTGGTGAAACAGTAAGAATGGGTTACTATCTATAATACAAGGTCATTTAATGTATTTATAAGGCATGATTCTAGGGCTTCAGTGTAGAAGGGCTCCTTCTACACTACCATATACAATCCAGATTATTTACTTTGAACTGGATTATATGGCAGTGTATGCCACTGCTACTATAATTTTAAAGATCCCTTATATGGAATAAGTTTTAATATTTATATTGGAAAGTACTTATTATACTTATTGTGTTGTACTTTTAAAGTTTGTATATTATGTGATGTCATGACCTATAGCTGGTACAATAAATCATTCATTCATATGGCAGTGTAGAGTCATGTAATCCAGTTCAGAGCAGATAATGTGGATTATCCACTTTGATAATCTGGATTATAGGGCAGTGTAGAAGGGGCCTAGTACATTGTGTAATTAGGGTGACTCTAGGTGTTAGTATCAAAATGGAACCTACACCCTACCCCATCTAGACACAAAATAGCAGCTGTATGTAGTACATTTATATTTGTCCTCTATTATTAAGGCTCCATTATTGATATTTTTATGATGTGCATTTGTGGTACAGAATGTGATGGTGTCATTATGTTAAATTGCAGAGATAAATAGTATTGGGGGGGGGGGAATAACACAAGAATGTGGTTTTCTTTGGCAGATCCAAAAGCAAAGCCATGATATCTGAATTCAAACATTAGATCAAGTGTTCAGTGTAATCAGCACTTTTGAATATACGTATTTCTTCAATTCTTCGGTTCTAAAATGCACCCCCCCCCCCCCCCATATAAACATCTCTAAAACAGGGTCCATCTTAGAATTGCAGGTGCTTTTTTATATGAATAAAGTTTTTTTTCCTGTTGGTGTTCCTGATATTAGTGTATGTCTCACAATCAGTGGCATCAGTGGAGCGCAGGGAGCATACAACCCCCCTGTTGCGCCAACTCCACTGGCTACCGATCTGCTACCAGGCTGAATTCAAAGTGCTGGCGTTGGCCTTTAAAGCCCTAAACGGTTCCGGCCCAAGCTACCTATCTGACCGCATCTCTGCCTATGAACCCACCAGGAGTTTGAGATCTTCCGGGGAGACCCTGCTCTCGATCCCGCCTGCTTTTCAAGCTCGGCTGGCGGGGACGAGAGATAGGGCCTTCTCGGTGGTGGCTCCTCGGCTGTGGAACGCCCTTCCTACGGACATTAGACTAGCACCATCTCTAATGGTATTCCGCAAAAAGGTGAAGACCTGGATGTTTGTGCAGGCGTTTGAGTAATTTAGTGCATCTGGTAATGGAACATAGGAATGGAACAATGGACGACGAACCTGGACTACGCTTGGATGATGAGAAGATTGGGTACGGTTGTTTTTTGTAATAATTGTGCATTGTAATTGCTTATTGGTAATTTATGGATAATGTGTTAAGTCAATTGTTATATGTTGTATGGAACCACTGCTGTTTCTACTGTTTCTACTGTTTGTGAACCGCTGTGAGTCGCCTTTGGGCTTGAGATACAGCGGTATATAAGCAAAGTAAATAAATAAATAAATAAATAAATAAATCTTAGAATTGAAGACATGTGGGAATACATTCCATCGGAATGAGTCAAAAGCAGATGTGGTAATTCACCATTTCAACAACATGCATTATCAACCAGTGCAACCATTACATACCTTTTAAACATTTTTAAAACTCCATATTTAACAAATCAGAAATTGTTTCTGGTGTTTTTTTTTTATTTTATTTTTTGCAGAGGGTGGGGATGAGTGATAGGAAGCTTGGCAGAAGATTGGCATTCACATCTCCAAAGCCTGTCCACATTAAATCAAAATGTGGACTATCAAATCATAAAATGTTTGTTTGACTTTTTATTTGAGTAAGATACTACCTAATTATATGACGGTTTGTATATGGGTGGTTCATTGTGCATTTGAGATGCTCTTGGCTTTTTGTTAGCAAATCCAAGGACTCTTGGTTTGTTATCTGTTCACAAAGAATGAAATCCATATATCCTAATATCTTTTCAAGAACTTAGCCATGCCAGAAAGTAGACAGTAAATCATTTGTTAAAATGTACTTCAAAAACAAACAAAAAAAGAGTGGACTTTGGAGCAAATAAGACAGTCTTTCCAAGGAGTGGAGAATTTTGCAATTCTTAGCATTGAATGATCTTTCATCACTGAATCTTCAAACTGCGTATATATATATATATATATATATATATATATATATCAGAATATATTTAAAAGCCCCTGCAGTTTTTATTTTACAAAAATGAATTCTTTCCGCTGACTTAAGTACTGTACTTAACATAAAACATAACCAATGATAATATTTCTAGTAGATAACATATATTGGATACTATTTATTGTAGTTGTCCAACAGATGGGGTATTTTTACCTTGAGCCTTATCTCAGTAAGAATCCAGCTTTAAAAATGCAAATTAGGTTAATTTGAGAACAAGTCACATAAGCACCAGAATATTTTGATTAAATGTTTGCAACCCTGGCATGTTAGAAGCACATGGTGGCAAGGAATATGGGTACAAACATAAATAGGAAATACCACAGATTTATTCATTATAGTCATAGATCCCTTGCTTAGCATGGGACAACAGATCCAGACACTGGGCAATGTTCTTGTCATTCAATGGAAAACCCTTTTCCCTATCTGTCCATTGGTGATACAAATGGATGGATATAAACCTCAGTAAGGTTTCCCCACCATCTGGGATGGAGGTATGCGCAAAAGCTCCTCAATTCTGCATGAACCCAAACTCTTTGAGTCTGCACATCCCTAAAGGAAAAATCATATGAATACAGGCTCATTCTTTAGACTAGATCCACATTATTAGTAGAGATCTGGATACCCTCATCATCTCATCAAACTTTATTGGATGTTGTGTCACTGTCTGATATCAAAGAGCCAATTGTCTTGTCCCTATCCTTAAAGATGAATTGTGTCAGGGGAAGGAAAGGAAAAGCTTGGATGCTGAGCCAACTAACCCTGTGCAGCATCCAGAAGTCACCAGAAGAGTCACTCAGTGACTCTTCTGGCCACACTTATCTTATATGTGCTGACAAGTGAATACTCTGCCAGTGACATTCTAATAAGTCCAGCCAAACCAACATAGAATGGCAAAAACTTATGTTCAGCATTTCAGGGTTAGTCTTGGCACAAAAATTGAAGTCGAGGTCATTCTCATTAAGCTAGTTAATCAAGACATCCGTTGGAGAGGAGATTAAGTTTAACAAAAGCTGACTGCTGTTTCTCTCTCTCTCTCTCTCTCTSTSTGTGTGTGTGTGTGTGTGTGTGTGTGTGAGAGAGAGAGAGAGAGAGAGAGAGAGAGAGAGAGAGAGAGAGAGAGGCCACAGTAGTGGCACTTGAAATATGGAGGGAGGGTTCCTTCCATAACATGCCAGAAGTTCTCTAACACACCAGAAATTTACCTTGCTAAATATTATAGACATATATGATTTTTTTTCTCCCAAATTCTTTTAGGGTGTTTTTTTTTAGAGGGGAGCTCAAATTATTGAATGTTAAACCTTATTTTTTTATTCTTGGACTTCCTGGACATCTCATCTATCTATCTATCTATCTATCTATCTATCTATCTATCTATCTATCTATCTATCTATCTATCTATAGCTTTGGATAGCATAGGGAAGGCTTAACACCCCTGTCTTTTTTGTTTTGTTTTGTTTMGTTTTTTTGTTTTTTTTGCTGTCTATGCCCTTGTTCACTTCACTTGCTGTCCCTCTGATATTTGGATTTTGAAAAAATTGACTTGTTGTGGAAACAAGGATTGGTGAGAAAGCTTCAGTGGAGACACCTTTTCCCCATGATAACTCCTCCAGGAGTGAATTTCTCTTCTTGGGAATAGATTTCTCTAACTTCCTGTTGTATCACTCCCATTCTTAACTATGAGTTATTTGCAAGTCAGATCTTTGTAACTCGGGGACTGCCTGTATTAACATAAGAGACTGGAAAACATGGTTAGCTAATTAGGATGAAATTTTGAGTCCATAAAGATATGCAATTAAGCATTTCAAATGTTATGTCTTATAAGAATTTAAAACAAATGTTGAAGAATGTCAACTCTACATAATTAATTTTTTTAGGGGAAAAATCCCCAATAATTGGTAAGGTAAAGATAATGGTTTTTCCTTGGCATTAAGTCTAGTCGAGTCCGACTCTGGGGGCGGGGTAGTGCTCATTTCCATTTCTAAGCCAAAGAGCCGGCATTGTTCGTAGATGGCTCCAAGGTCATGTGGCCGCCCTGACAGCATGGAGTGTCGTTACCTTCCTGCTGGAGCATTACCTATTGATCTACTCAAATTTGCATGTTTTTGAACTGCTAGGTTAGCAGAAGCTGGGGCTAACAGTAGGAGCTCACCCTGCTCCCCAGATTCAAACCGCTAGCCATTTGGACAGCAAGTTCAGCAGCTCAGCGGTTTAATCTGCTGTGCCACCAGGGGTTCCCAATAATTGATACACATGTGCAAGATGTTTCAAAATTTTATGGTTGGGGGTCACCACAATATGAGGAACTGAATTAAGGGGTTGCGGCATGAGGAAGGTTGAGAACCACTGCATTACATCATCAGAACAATAACAGACATTTATCCAAGTGCTCCAGGTAAAGGTATAAACATTGTTTCTTTGATTTTACAAATCAGTAATTTAATGTAGAGACTTCTCAGGCTAAATGGCAGGGGTCCCTTTGAAATTGTCATTAAAGCATTCTGCATAGAAATAATTATCTGGAAGGGAGACATTTATGTGGATGCATTGGCATCTTGTAATAGGAGACTGTGTGCTTTGTAATATAAAGCAAAATATTGCCACGTACTTGGGTTTAGCATCTAATTTGGGTAATTTTATTGATTCTGCTGTAACAAAAATGTATAGAGCTTATAGAGAGCATCATCTTTCAGTCTGCTTTCTTCTTTGTGGGAATCCAAATCAAAGACATGGAGACCATTTGTTGTTGTGTTCAGAACACTGAGTGTTGCTGAGGACTGCGGTAGAAAGTAACAGCAACAGACCCTGCCACAAGAATTTGATTTTACAATGAATCAGGTCATTACTTTGGCTGATTGACTGGTTAGAATTTAAAGATGACATGAGATTCTGCAGCTCTTTTAGCTGCCAAGATTAGCACTTTTACAGAATCAGCAGATCCATTTAGACAGTGTTTGATTAATTTAATGAGAACCAAACAAGTTCAGCCAGAGCAAGTTTACAATGCCAATGAGACAAAGTTTTTTTGGAAGTCAGGCCAAAAAACCCCAAAAAAACAACAACACTGGCTTAAGCTACTGAGAAAATTGCCCCTGGATTAGAAGGAGAAAAGTCTGGCATGCACAGTTGGGTTTCAGATTTTTAAATTACAACCTGGCAAAACTTTGAAAGTGAGTTACATTGCACACAAAAAGTAGGTAACCTGTCTCTTCAACTGTTGAACATGAATTATTTTCGGCATATTAAAAAGATGAGTCTGTGGTGATGTCCTTTCATAAATGAAAATGAATAGGCCTGAGAAAGGGCTTTGTTATTAGGCCAGCATTGCTGTTTGACAACATTATGGCTCATTTCCAAAGGGAGAAACACCCTTCCAAATAGCTGGTTTATATGAATGCTGGTTCTTGCCAGATAAGACCACTGTAAAAAAAATGTGGACAGTAGTAGAAGGGAGATTAAAATGTCTTGGCTTATTGCATCAGAGCAAAAGGACCATGAATCTGTCAGCGCCATGATGCAGAACAGTTCTCGGAAGGATAAATAAAGATTCCATAGTAATGCTTTAAATTGTCTTATAATGAGGCAAACCATTGATCCATGTAATTCAAGACTGTCTGTTCTGACTCTCTTCATGATCTCAGGCAGAGCTTGAAAGGTCACTTTTTTGGACTTCACTGGCTATGCTGGCTAGGGAATTCTTGGAATTGCAGCATTAAAATTTATTTTGAAAGTTCTGGCAGCTCTTCCAAGCCCTGTGGGATTCTTTGACCTAGATGTCCCAGGGACCAAGCCTGATCCTAAAACCTGTTACATGAAATCCATGGGTCCTGCCACAGAACTCTGGAACACTAATTAAGTGATTACAGAACTACTTTGAAATGCATGTGTGCGATAACAGAGTATCACTTATGAGCTAGTATATTGTATTACAGCTATAAAAGGGCAATAATTGTAGTGTTCTGTTCTAAACAGTCTTCCTCCTTGACTCTGTCTATGTAACAGAGCGATAACAGCAGACTTCCCTGTTAACAGAAGTGAAATTGTTTACTGAACTTGCATGTGGCCCAGGACACCCTAAAAGGTCCATCCCCATTCCAATTTCATTTTCTCTCCTTAACTGTTATCCAAGCACACGCTCGATGCTGGAACTCCCTGCCCAGGGAAGCCAGAATGGCTCCCTCCCTGCTATCTTTCCGGCAGAAGGCTGTTTTTATAATTCAGGCAGGTTTTTAAAGAAATAAGTTTTAAAGATTTAGGCCCCTTCTACATTGCCATATAAAATCCAGATTATCTGCTTTGAATTGGATTATATGATCATATAATCCCAGTTCATAAATCCTGTGTTTCTGTCATAACAGTCTTAGAATCTCAGTTAAATGGCAAGAAACTGATTTGACATTTTAAGATGAAATTCCAATTCAAATACCACACGCAAAAATGTTGACTTGCCAGTGTAAAGGAGTGTTCCAGTAACTCTGTAGATCATGTATTAGTCTTGGTTATAACTTAATGATTAAATTAGTTTAGAATGAAATACCGGTATTTATACATCTAATATGGAGGGTACTTATAGCATATTCTTATTAATATTCTTATAGCACTTTCAGGTGCAAGGCTCACAGTGTTTCTTGGAACTATTCATTTTGTAATTAATACAGAATTGCAACCATAACACATGGGGGAAATTGGAATTATTAGTACTATGCATGCATGCATGTATTTGGTGTCTGTTTAGAAACATAAATTTCAGAAAGCATACTTCCTGTCATTCCATATCTGTCTATATGTACCACTAAATCCAGGGCTTGTACAGAGTAGTAATACTCCTCAGAGACAGCTACATTTTCTGTATATTATTCCACAGCAGCAATGAAGCGGTGTCTAGCTATGTCAAAATTGATTTTGCCTCTCTGGACCATCATCTTACCTTTCCTGTTCCTGTGGCTACTGCCGATGGGCACAGAGCTGCGAGAGAGTTCCTGTCTGTCCCCAGGCACCTTTGCTAAATGCAAGAAAAAGGAGATGACTGTGGTTCAGTCTGGAGTGGAGCCAGCCATGCCGTCTGGTCTACACTCTACCTGAGGTGTGGGCTGCTCCAGAGCATTCCCCAACTTTGCTTAGCATGGGGTTGAATCAGTTTATCCCATGCTAAAGACCGAAATTCCCTAGACATTATCTAGACATCCTGGTTCATCTTCTAGTCCACTTCAGGGTAAAGGGCTGGTGTAGCCCCAAGTCTTATTCTTCTTTCTAATAGTCCATTTTGGTAGAAAATGATGACATCAAAACTGGACCACTGGAAGAAATAGAATGGAGGTATCAGCATGCTAGGGAAAGCTTAAGGTTTTTTGAAAAAAATGACATTATTTAAAGAGAAACAAACAAGCAAAACAGTCAATGAGAGTTGAGCATGCTCAGTCCCTACAGTGACATTTACTGAATTTTGTTAGTATTCTCATTCGACAATCCATGATATTAAGTTGCAAAAGTTATTGTATTGCACTGTAGGCCTGGAACACCTTTGCAGCCAACACCACACAATGTTTAGATAATCTTGTAAGTAAAAGTTTATTAGTGAATAAGTATAAAAGGAAAAAGGCAAGTAAAAAAGAAGTAGTAGAAGTACTGAAAGTACAACAAGATCAAGAGTTCATTCGTTTGTGAGCCAACGCATCAAAAGCAATCCACAGAGTCTTGAGTTAACACAAAGCAAAAGAATCCTTAAGCGGGGTATTGTTCAAAAGTTATGTCCATAAACAGAAAAACAGGAACACAAAAAAGGCAAAACCTTCAAAAAATGAAGTCATAAACAGGAATCCAACCAAGAATCTTAAAATACAGGAACCAGGAACTTAGGACTAGAAACCAGGAGCTGTTTCCCCTTTTTACAATGTTTTTCCCACTAAAGGCCTGAGAGCCCAGAAACCACTTAAAAGTCTTCAATCCCCCATGACATCATTTCGCACACACCTACTTTTTTCACCTTATCTCTAAGCCTCTGAGAAAAACAAGTTTGTCTTTGTTTTGCATTCTGCCTCCTAATTTCAAGGTGACTCAATCTGGAAAAACCTTTGTCTCCCACATTCTCCTCCAAAGGTAACTCTGGCCTTTCTCATGGGAACTGATATCACTTTGTTCTGTTGCCTGAGAGCAGCTTGGAGATTCCAAAATATCTATCTTCAGGCCCCTACTATCTTCCATAGACTCCTCAGAAATTACAGGTTGCAACCCATCATCCCCTTCCTCATCCTCAGAGCACCCAGAAAGCTCATCCGATTCTTCCCAGGCTACAATAGTTTCTTCTTTGGAGCTGCTGATCTTCCTCCCCACTCCAAAAAACCCTTCCACCCATTATAGTTCTGTTTCGAATACTTGCCTGAAAGTTATAGTTCAACTCAGTTTACAGATATTGCTTCCCTCTTAGCTTTTTTCTTTGGAATTGGCATTCTCAGCTGGCTTAGATTTTAAGAAAAAATGAGGAATAGTCTTGATTTTTTATTACCCACTGAATTAATTGCTATTACAATAAAACACAGCTTTACAACTTTGTTTTATAAAATCAGAGTTGGGATGAAACAGCTATCTTGTGCAACCTTTCTCCCAAGATACTGTGTTCTATTTATCTGGTCACAATTCTCCCCAGTTTTGCAGATTTCAATGAAAAGGGACCTGCCAGTCCCTTGATGCATTCTGAGATAGTAGCCATTATTTTGGACTCCCAACCATTTTCCTCCACTGATTTCATTGCCCACCTGATTGGAAGCATCCTGTAGCACGTGCCAAAAATGTCAGCCAGACAATGCATTGCAGGAGGGGAGATAAGCCCTAGGATTAATGATAGGATTATTAAAGGCAAAAATATCTAATTGTTTTGATCATCTAAAGTCTAAAAATATGCGTAACATGCACTCTGGAGATAGGAAAAGAGGGAGAATATAAACCCTTTTTAGTGGTTCTCCTGCCACATTTCCCTCGTTAGAACCATATGGGGTAGAGAGAAGTAACATGCTCATAGCACCCCGTTTCTACATTTTGTCCAGTTACTCAGTTCTTTGTATTACATGTTTGGAGTGTCAGCAGTAGGGAGTGTTCTGTGGAAAATTCAGAGCTCTGTGCTTTCAGGGTTCTGAGTTGTGAGTGGACCCTACATGAGTAGTTCACACTTCCTACTGCTGATGTTTGCCCTCCAGGACATAGGGTGAATGCACGTATTTCCATTCTGTTCCTTGTGTGAAGCACAAATGATTGAAAAGGGCTATTCATGCATACATGTCTGACAAAGAGCTATAGAGAGGGATTTTGAAGGAATGGCAGCTCCTTCTTTATATTCTTCTTGCTCAAGAGATGTTTCAGAGGATTAATATTATTGCAATTATATGCTATGGGTTTTCTCCTCCCCTAGGCATGCAATATGTTCCCAATTATTTCACTGTAGTCCAGCTTCTTAACGCGTAGCAGATGCCCTGGCAGATGTTTTGCCTGTCTTAAGTGTGTTTTAGATGTGGAATCTACTCACTGATTAATTTTCCAGAGAAATGTATGTGTCAAGGATTCTTCTAAGAAATCATCTTTGCCATTATAGAGCCATGCAGAAACCACTACAGAAGCTTTTCTTTGCTTTTATAGAAAGTATCTTATATTTGCTGTAAAAATTAGTTTTCAATTGTTTGTAGTGATTTCAAACCTGTATGTTTCAGCACATCATAATATTTCTGCCATGAAACTGCATGCCACTGAGCCATATATCACTCCCTGGGTCTGGCAGACAGTCACTGAAGCCCCTTCGTAACTATTTGTGCCTGAAGGGTGGGTTGGGGGAGGGGGTCACAGAAGAATCTGGCCATGACTCCATAACCAGATGCAAAGCAATTACAAATTGTCTTTTGAGGACTGCCAAGTCCTGCAGAGGTATCAGCAGCTAATGTAATCACTTCCCACCTGGCTACAGAGACATAGCCAGATGCACACCTCCAAGTATAAATTGCCATACAAAATGGCTCAGTGGCAATTTGGGGGCTGTGATCACTGTAGAAAAAGATTACGAATATGACAGCTATATATAAAAAAAGACATACACATGTATGAATTTAATTTCTTCCTGTAGATGCCTCTAACTGAATGCCTGCTGACGTTTTATCAATTGGGTAGGAAATGTTTGAGCAGATTATGTCACAGAAAATAAGTGAAGTTATTTCAGAAGGTAGTGTTTTTATAAGCATCCAGTAGCTTATACTTTTAATTTGATTCATAAAGTTGCGATATCCATTAGTGCTGAAATGATACCCTTGATATGTATAATTAATTTCTATGGACTCACATGCTTTCCTGGACATTTTTATGTCCAAGGTCTACAGTTTCACCTTTCTGTCCCTGTTCTCTATATCTGAGCTTCTAGCACAGTGGTTTTCAACCTGTGAATCCCCAGGTGTTTTGGCCTACAATTCCCAGAAATCCCAGCCATTTTACCAGCTGTTAGAATTTCTGGGAGTTGAAAGCCAAAACATCTGGGCACCCACAGGTTGAGAACCAGTCTTCTAGCAGAACCTGGGTTTGGACTTATCTCTCTGTTCTTTTTTATGAGTCCCTGTTTCTATTAAAAGCCTGATTTCCAACTCTGGTTTTGTTCTTGAATTGCTTGCTCTTGGGATTCTTTAGCATGATTTTTGTGAATTGAATTTAAGGGTTTTTAAAAAGATATTTTATGTTTTATCCTGACCTAAAGTTCTTGTTTTGTTTTGCCACTTATTTATTTATTTATTTATTTACTGCATTTGTTAACCGCCGTTCTCAGCCCTAGGGCGACTCATGGCGGTGTACAACATATAAAAAAGTTTACAATAAGACAATATCACAACACAATATCCACATAACTATCAATAATACAATTACACTAAATCATCCGCGCCGTCTCATCATAGAATCATAAACCAATCTCATTATCCATATTCCGTT